CAGCAGCTTTAAGGTTTACTGTGCTGGAGAGGTGTGTGTGTGTGTGTGTTTGTGTGTGTGTGTGTGGGTGGATCCATAATTTTTCAGAAAGTTATTTCTCACAGACATGAAAAGATTTCAAAGAAGACCAACATGTATATTTTAAAGTAAAATAAACTCTCAGGTGGTCTATGTGGTTCATTTGAGTGTATTTTGATTAGTTTTAACCAGATGGTTTTTTTTTTCAAGTTTTCTTTATTCATGTCATTACTGCAGGATATTTTTGGACATTTTCATAGTATCAGCATGCACCCTGAAGACTTATTCTTCAAACTTCTTAAATTTAAAGTTTTAAAACAACAAAAACAGATAACTGTATTTCACTGCTAAATTAACTTAAATTATTTTCCTCACCTCCTTTTTTTTACTTTGAGGAGCTTGATTTCTCTGATGGGGATAAAAGAGATTAAAACAAACTGTGTATGCAGACTTTAAAGTACTTTGTTATCTAAATAATAAAGATGTAATAAAAAGGTTTTTTTTTTTGCTCCAGGACTAACTAAAGATCATTTAAACTTGATAAGCCATCCTTACATGAGAGGGCTGAAAGAAGCCTTTCATGCAGATGTTTTAGACTTGTTTAGCTTTAAAAGAGCTCTGAAATGTAAAATGATAACATCTTACGCTGTTATGCAGATTTATATATGTATTGTGAAGATATCTTGGTTGGTTGTTGAGTATAAAATAGGGTAGGCAAGAATAAGCTTGGCTTCAGCCTTTTTTATTGGTAAATTATGAGTTTGTTTATTGTTTCTGTTTTGTCTGTTGTTGTTTTTAATGCTTAACATGAACGATTTACCAAAAATAAAGTGATTGATTGATTGATTGATTGATTGATTAATTGATTGTTTAATGAAATCATTTGAAGAACTGGAACTTTCTCTTCTGATGAATTTGTGCTACTTCCTCACCAAAAGCAGACGCTGCACCGGTTTTATTTTTCAGCTAATGAGACGGCGCAGGTAATGTTTGTGAACGGAGAGGTGTACGATGGGAAATGCAGTTTTATCAGCCCAGGTTCTGTTTCTGCTTAGAGAGGCAGAAACAAGAGAAAAAGAAGTGACAGGAAATGTTCAAACGCCGGCATTTGAATACTTCCTCATGGTTTGTGTCACTGAGAGGGGACATTTGGAAACTCTGACCGGGAGTAAAGGATTTATGTCGTGTCAGCACACAACTCACTGTGTGTGTGCGTGAGTGTTTTGTACATAACAACGGTGAACATGTTCCTCGCGCAGCTTAACTTAAGCAAACAGCACACACCTTCCTGGGCAGTCAAGAGAGCAGA